CTTGGTGTGTTTGTTGTGCTGATCAACCTCAGCAAAAAAAAAAAAAAAAAATCATTTTCTTCACAATCTGAGTTATATTCATTCACTGCCATTTTTTCAAATTACCATCAACCCAAAAACCTTCCCCCAAATTTAAAAAAAATATTTTCAAACATCCAGTTCATTTGATTTGCTTAGGGCTGGTGATAAAGATTAGAAATAAATTCTATTTTATTTATTTTTCTTTATTTACATTATTTACATTTAGACTAATATCCTCATCTTTATTTTTATTATCACAATATTTCAGCCATTGTAACGTCTGGCCTTTTTCAGATGTTTGTCAATCTGGGTAAATGGGAAATTTTGAATTAAACACTTTATTTAATCTATGAGAGTAGTGTTTTCTTGTTCCACTATCTTGTTATTTTTTTTTTTTTTTTGAGTATATTTTAGTATTGCTCAGTTATTGCTAATAACTGTAATGAAGATTAGAAATAAATTCTATTATTTTTCTTTGTTTACATTGTTTTCATTTAGACTAATATCCTCATCTTTATTTTTATTATCACAATGTTTCAGCCTTTGTAACCTCTGGCCTTCTTCAGGTGTTTTTTGATCTGGTAACCTTTAGCAAATTTACTTTACCTATGTTGACACACTGAAAGACAGCTGAACGGTACAATAGTTGAAGCATTGTGATGATAAAAATAAAGATGAGAATATTAGTTCAAATGTAATGAAGGATAATTCCTCATCCTAGAAATTCAAAAGGAATTATTTTTTAATAACATTTTCCATATTTTAGGTTGGCTACAGTAATTTTGGGGCTGGGAGGGTGCTCAAGTTATAAAAAAAAAAAAAAATGAAATCTAGGTTGATCACTACCAAAAAGCAATTATACTAACCAATCAAAATTATGAAAGAACAACAATATTTCAAAGAACTTTCTTGATCTGTTGAGTCTATTTATATAAACACAATACCAGACAATACACCTGGAAGCGAGTTGTCTCAATCAAAACTTCATCCTTTCTAATGATAAGCAAGACAGTTCTTTCTTGTTTTCTTTTTTTCTGGCTTGTGGCCCAAATCTTGGCCACCAAACAACCACATGAGTTACAAAATAATGACCACACTTATCCCTCCCCTCTCTAGCCACTTATTTGCTTGACTGGGATGCAAACAGCAGGCGTAAAATTATTTGAAGTCTTTTATGAATCTCAGTTTCTTATCTTTGTTTGTTGGATTTCCATCTTCCATACAACAAATTGCTTTGGGAAACCAATAATTAACCAACAGCTGTCAGAGTGGTCATTTTTATGAGGGAGAATTTCCTTGTGTCTTTTGCATCTAAGTAATTTTATCAATTTGGTTTTTGTTTTAGAGGTGTCTAGACATCTTAATTTTCTGTTGTGATTCAAAGTGTAATTTCAACCTGGTCTGGAGGCAATTTTAACTCTGCCTAAAAATAATCAAACCACAAATCTTTATCTTATCAATAAGCTGCAATAAAACTTGGGCTATGTCTTGCAAAAATAACAATGTTTTTTCTAACTTTCAGAAAATCCATTTCACACATAAAAGTAAATAGAGAAAGAGAGAGGAAAGAAGCTTTTCCATGTGTGCTTTTTTTTTCTTTCTTTTTGATAGTGGCTAACATCAAAATGTATTGTTTAATAAAGCTACTTTCTTAAATTTAATTAACATTGCACTAAAATGGCTTTGTGAACCTATGTTACAACACCAAAACTGGCTTTCAAATGCAAACACATTAAAAAGTAATTTTTTATTTATTTTTTTTTAATAATACCATAAGTGTTAATGTGTGGCAATAAAAACAAGGTTTTATGATTGGTTTTGTGTGCTTTCGGTTACATTTATATAAAAGATTTTTACCATGAGCATTTGGCTTATATATTGTTTTTAAAATTAACTCATGTTTTTTTAATGATTCTGTCCAAAAACTACATTTCTAATCTTTTTTTTTTTTTTTTTTTTTTTTTTTTTGTAATTTAAATGATTATCTTTAAATTGTTGCTAGAATTAGATGATTATACTTTTTTGTAATAGACAAGCATTATTTCGTTACTCATCAGACGTTACCATATTGCAAGAGTCTTTACTATTTTCAACCTTAAATTGGCCATTTATTTTTGATGCAACAATTGAGATAAAAAGTTGGTTTGAACTCCAAAATGTCTCTATATTGTTCAGACTGTTGTCCCCCATCTTGTCATATTCACAATGTTTCAACTGTTGTACTTCAGGTGATATACATTAGAATTTTGAACTGAACCCTTTATTTAGTCCCCTGAAGTAGATTTGTTCTAGTTCCACGTGCCATGCCTTTTCTGGATATCTCAGTTTCAGTTATTGTTCACCTTTGCTGTGGCTATGTATTGAACTCACAACTCTTTGGGTCAAGTGACTGAATTACTCCAACCATTGCTTTTCTCCATTGGGCTATGTGGACACATGTTCATTAGCCTCAGTGGACTAAATAAAGTGATTGGTTCGAAATTCCAACTTATATCACCTGAAGAAGGCCGGAGTGTACGACTGCTGAAACGTTGTGAATATGACAATAAAGATGATGACAACAGCCCAAACAATGTAAATAGTGTAACTAGTTACAATACCTCATCTCAGAAATATAGACAGATGTTAAAAAGTTACTATATTTAAACATGTATTTTTCAGCAAAACTATTACTAAACAAAATTCATTAGTGAATTAACAGTTTGAAATTGGCTACATTTTTTCCAAACTGTAAATATTTTTTTTATTTAATTTCTCTATTGATCTGAATAAGGGTCAATTTTCTTATTTTTTCAATAATGCCATATTTTGCTATTCTTAAGATGACATCAAATCAGTTCAGTTTTTATAAACAAGAAATGCATTCCTTTGGATTTGAGAAACCTATTTTTCTGAAAAATTGTTTTTGGAGAAATATTTTATAAATTTCAAATGACAATAGTACAAGCTGCTCTGTCAATGAATGCCAAATGTTTCCTTATAAGGAAACAGCTAATATTGCCATTAGCATTTGTATAAAAAGTAGTTTATTTTAAAATGCTCATCAACCCAATTTCTGTTTGGTTTGGGATATTAATCATTTCCTATTGTTCAATACATAATGTTTATTTATCATATACATTAAATAAAAAAAAAAAATGCATAGTTTTATCTTGAAATATGTACAAAATATTTAATAAATGTACAAAATATGGATAAATCATTTGATCCATACATTTTCCAATGTATTATAGCTCAATTTAACTGACATCATTTTCAGCTAATTCAAATTCCAGCATCAAAAAAAAATGCCAGAATGTAGCTAACAAAATTGTCTACCACACTGACAGCACCCAGTTCTTGATAATGACTGAAGCAGATGAAAGTATTCAAACAAAAACATGAACTTCAGACATTTTATCCACAATTTTAATACAGATGTAGGACCTTTTTATTTGAAAACTGGAAAAATACAAAAAATTAGATCTTGTTGATTGAATTGGAGAAAACTTGTTTTTATAGTAAAAATAATTGACTGAAATTAAGTTTAGGTAACAACAGATGCTGTCACTGAAAAAGAGAAAAAAATCTTTTTGATTACTATCAGATTAAATCTTTTTAACTCTTTTTATAGCCAGGATATACCTGTAAAAATATTGTTTTTATATGACTTTGAGAAGTCTATGGATGTGATGGATTTATTAACTGTTTTCCAAATATAAAATAAGTTAATAATAATTCTTTATTAAGCATCAATTATGTAGCCAATAAGATAGATGATACTTCATTTCACTGAAAAGGCTGACTTTTTAAGCTGACCAAATCTTGTTACTTAAGAATCAAATCTGCTTTGATTCTGATGAAATTAGCTTTGATATCCGAAGTCATTATCATCAAAGAACTGGCTACTTTCCTATCAAATAGATCAGTATAATATGAAAATGATCCATTGATTCTTTCTACTTGTGCTAATTTCTTTCTTTTTTTCCCCCCTTATTCTGCATGAATGCAGGAAAGAACATCTCTCTTAGTACCTACAAGTGGATGTGTGCATTTGATGTAATGGACATCGGCTTGGAATTTTAAAATATCAGTGAGCCGATTTTGAATTTTAATTGCGTTTGTTACATTTACTTACATACTGTTGTAGAGTAGTTTTCACAGTGGAGGCTTATATTTCAATAAGTCGTCCTAAATTAGGTTCGACGTACAAAACGTTAGGAACTTGAAATAAGAGTTAATGACGCAGCAATCTAGTTGTGATGGTTGATACTTCAATGTCCAACATCGACTGACTCACTCAACACCACTGAGCCCAACTGGTCACTGCTACTACTACTTGTTATCTGTGGGAGAGTCTATTACAATAGAATAGGTATTATGGTATAACACATACAAATAACCTTGGAAAAGGTATGGACCAATATCCTGCCACAGCTATTGGTTAAATAGTAGGACTTGTATCTGGAAAAAATCATTCTTATTCTCAAAAAATTGTTAAGGCAATATTCACTCAACAAAAAGAAAAAAAAAAGTTATTCATACAGTCCAAAATATGTTTTGGCTTTAAATAACCCACAGAGAGTTGATAAGCCATAAAAAAGACAAATCAACCAATTTTAACTGGCAAGTAAAAAGAACATAAATGAATGGTTTAATTCTATTTTTCAATTGAGAATCATGAAAGTTCAAGTGACTTAGAATTTAAAACCAATAAAGTAACATTGGATTTTTCAACTGATAGTTCTTATTTTCAGTTGCTCTTTTTATTGCGAATTCTCAGATTGTAGATATAAAGATAAAGCTCTAAGAATAAATGATAATACATCATCTAATAATGATTTCAAGATAATAATTCTCTCTACTGGCCACTACTACTGCTCATTTCCAAGCATAGTCATCTTTTCTTTTGTTTTATTCTTGATTGCTCTTCTTTAAGCATGAATATAAATGTCTGACAGTTCATAAATGTTTTCTGTTTGATAAAGCTTTTACTGGCTTACAGCCATATCACATTGAAACACTGATTCTCTTATGATCATCAAAGTTAAGAAACTTCGAGCCTAGTCAGTACCTAGATGGTTGACCATTTAGGAATACCAGGTGCTGAAAGCTTGGGTGGTGTAATTGATAATGGCTCAGAATTGGAAATCAGTGCTGAGTTCCAAATCCATTCGGGCTTGTTATATAATTTACTTAGGTATAAATACCTTTGGGAAAGGTATGAATCCACCTCTTCCCCCAAGCTATGGGTTAAATGGTAGTACTTGTATCAATAAATCATTAATATCTCAAAAAAAATTTTACAATCTAAAAATATTTTCTGGCTTTAAATAACCTGCAAATAAGCTGTAAAAAAAAAAAAAATCTATTAATAAATCAATATAGCTTTTACAGCATTGTCCATTGTATTGAGAGAGAGGAAAAAAAGAAAGAAACATTATTATTTGAAGGTAATGTTTTGTAGTTAATTAAATGACTAAAAATAAAATAATTTCCTTTATAATTATTTACTTCATAACATATTTCTTGGTTTATATGTGCTGTTGGTAAACTGGTCATTAGTAATGCTGAAAGCAAAATATTTTACATGTTTGTGTGTGTGTGTGTGTGTATATATATATATATATATATATATATATATATACACGTACACATATGAACTTAAAGTGCACTGATATCCACTATCAAAACTATTGGGAACAATTTCCACATAAACGTATATGTTTATAAAAGTAATTACAATGCTACACATCTCTATAAAAAAATATAATATATATATATATATATATATATATATATATATATATAAATGTGCAGGCCTAAGGGCTCTCCACATCTACAATCAGCAGAGAAGAGGCAACGTCTTAAAGCTGAACTTCCCTCCAGTTGTTAGATTTTCTGCAGCTGTCCTGGAAGAACTTTCCTTTTCTCTGTTGACAAAGTTGGAATGTTCCCTCCTACATTTTCATCCAGTCATGTTGATGGTACCAAAATCTTTTAAATACTAAAGTTCAATTTATGAAATGTATAATTTATTAAAATAGAGTTGATATTTTTTTTAGGCTCATAATTTTTATATTTTCATAATCTTTACACTCTTGTTATCTTTATCCATGCCCAATATACTTTTAATTTTAATATATATTAATTATTTATTTTGAGAGATATTGCTATTATGAAATATCCAAACATTAGCTAAATCAAAATTATTTTATACTCTGCTTGTTTAAATGACAAAGCTCATAATCCTTAGAAAATTTGTTATTTGGAAATTCCTGCACATTATTTGTTTTTTGAATTGGACCTGTTTTTTGGTGGTTTTTTTAACATCTTTTTCAATAAATGTCTTTTCTTTCCAACATTTTTTGTAGCCTGAAGATGGGGTTGCTGCTGCAGGTGCAGACAGTGCAGGCAATGCTGCCCAGGCAGGGATGAATTCACTGGCTAGGCCACTGATACCTGGAGCTGAGGACATGATGAGCGAGATGCAGCGAAAATTAGCTGCCCGGCGTGCCAAGACTGAAAACTCCTCACAGGTAATTCTTTTTCTCTTCTGACAGCCTTAGTTTTTGTCTTTCTTATACTATGCTGATATGGGAGAATGGCAAAGTTGTTAGAACCATGACATTTCATTCAAATCTCACCATGTGTTGTATAGCCCCCTCAAGCTGGGAGGTCTTGGTCATCTGTGCCAAATTGAGCCTATGTTGCTTAGCCCGGTCATGCTGGGGTGGTCTTGGGCAATGGCGTCAATTCGATAATAAAGTTGCATTTTTCTCTCACGGCTTGTGATCACTAGTTGTTTTGAGTCTAGAGATAAGAGATTCAACACAAGGAATTTTAACTTAACTATTTTATTAACGTTCATGTCGAAATGGGGGTTGTTCCTTCTCCACTGAGGAACTGATCAGAGACATGAAAGGAAACCTGTTTACATTCTTTGATGGTTAAGACTCAACTCAGTGAAAACCCTTTCTCTATATCTATCATTCCCATGCTAGCTCAGCCAATCAAAATCAACTTCCTTAATTTGTCTTCCATCTGACCTTGAAGGTCAACCTCAGGAAGTCCAAGCACTTCCTCTAAAAAGTAATAGTCTGCTAAACTATTATTTAGCACATGGTTCATTTGAAAGGAAGGCAACTTCTTGTTATTGTCTGGAGAAGCATGCCACCTTTGGAAGGCACCTGACCATAACATGGGTTGATCCAAGCCAGCTATATTAATTTATTCATGAGATGTTCAATAAGCCCTACTTTTCAGTGTGCTTTTAGATAGAATTTTTTTTAAGGAGTGTGACAAAAAATATCCTCATATCCTCATATAACAACTAGACATTTTGCAGAAATCAACAACTGGTACTGTATATTTGGCGGGGAGAATATACCCCATTCGAATCAAAACAAGTCTAGGTTTCTTTCTGATTTTTATAAATATTTTTATCTTATTTGATATCTCATAATTCTAACCAAACTAAACCACTTTTTAAAAATGATCTTATTTTATCACTAAAAAAATAATTACTCAACAGCCTGAAAAACAACTGCTTATTAGTACAGCTAGTATAGCAATCTCACAAACCATTAGTCGTAATGTTCTCATGTTAGTTCAGTCAAATATATCTAGAATAGTTTGCTCTTGATCAACAGTTGTAATATATCTAGAATAGTTTGTTCTTGATCAACAGTTGTAATATATCTAGAATAGTTTGCTCTTGATCAACAGTTGTAATGCTGATCTCTCAAACCATTGAGAGTGAGTTTGGTTTTTGAATGCTTCATAAATATAATTTTGTATATCATCCAACAAATAACAGACTGGCTGCATCACTAAATCCTAATGTCTAACCACTAAAATGTTGGCATTGAAAAGTATCAAGTCTTGGCAAAAGTCTTTTATTCTACAGATGAATTCTTTCCAGTTCTTAATAAGTTCCAGTCTATGTTTATTTTCCTGTAGTGTTCCCTGGAATAAGAATTATAGAATGTGTTGGCTAGAAACATGAAGATAAAAGTGGAAATAATGTTAGTATAAACAAATTCTTAATGTTATGATTCATTTCATAAAACAACAGATATCTTGATAATTCTATAAGCAGATCTGAGAAAAGTAATGTTCTTCAGCCAGCTAACATGATTGATATGTCTTTTCTTTTTCTAGTTGGGTGTGACTAATACTTCATCTCTCTATGAATAATCTTTATTCTTTTATTAGCTGGAACAACTTAGAATTATTCATGTCCAAGTCTCTTGGATTCCTTTCATTGTTCCTCTTTGCTTTTTGGGTTTTTTTTTTTTTCCTTATTCTTCATCTGAAGGGATGTGGCTTAATCAGTTGCCCAGGTCTTGAAAGGAAAAAACTGAAAATTTGTATCCATAAAAACATAATCAAACCTATTTAAAATTAATTTTGATCAAATTTATTAGATAGCAAAAATTTATATGGTAAATGAAAATTCTTGTCATTAAACAATTCTTATACTGATATTAATCAATTCCAGTTGTTTGGTAGCTTCTGCAAGACTTTCATCTCCAAAATTTTTGAAAAGATTTTCCTCTATATTCAGTTTAGTATTTGTGTTGATGGTTAAAAAATAGTAAAATAATACTATAAAACAATACTATAAATTATTATAAAATAAAGCTAGTTTGAAAATTTTCCAACTGCTACTAAAATTCTTTCTATCTCATTCTGTTTGTTCTTTCAGCACAGATTTTTATTTTATTTTGTTTTTGCTGTGTGAATTGTATATACATATAGCCTATATAATTTCTCATTTTTTGTGTACATACTTTGCAAATGTTAAAAACTGTTTTTATTTTATTTTTTATTTTATTTTATTTTTTTTTTGTTCATTGCATAACATAAATGATCGATTTGATAGTATCATATTAAGTGATTTTCATTGACTTTTCTTAGTTGGGTTAGCATAGAATTTATATTTGAAATCAGTTATTCTTGATCAGCTTTATTCTTTTTATTGTTTCTTATAAAATGCAATAATAAATAATCTATTAATATTTATAAATATTATCTTTCTGCAAAACCTCCATTCAGTTTTGAATTCTTGCTCTTAAATCAATAACTTTGTTTCTCTTTCACACTTTTTGACTTTTCTCTTGCCTCTTTCTAAGTCTACATCTTCCACTTCTTTCGCTGTAGTCATTTTTATCTCCAGCCCAAGAGGCTAAATGTGCTTGGCTGTCCACTGTGAGATCTGAAAACAAATTGTGCTGAATCTAGCAGACAATGGAAGAAATATTGATTTGAATGTCCAATGCTTGGATCTTTCTTCTGTTGTCTGCCATCCCAGTCTGTGTGGCATTCAATGTGAACAATTCAAATTCTCTTGCTTAACTGGTTCTACAAAAGAATTTTGTATAAAGCAGCCTTGAACAAATGGCACTCTTTCATCTATGCAAGACTTGAGTCACAAGAAATTTGATCTATCCAAGGAATAGTTAGAAACCTTTGCTGTTCTTTTGGACATTTCACTGTTTTAGAGATTTTTTTTTTTTTTGAGCTTACGTCATTATTGAAACTACTAGCACCTCCAACCACTCCCCAACAACTTATGTTATGCTACTCTTCTTTTAGTGAAGGTATGCAGTGGTATCTTCCTGGATTTAAATCTCGGGAGATTTTTTTTAATCTTTAAATATGTTATTTATATTATTTAGTGTTAGACAAATATCCTCATCTTTTGTTATTATCACAATGTTTCAGCTGTTGTATCTTCCAGCCTTCTCCAAGTGCCTGTTGATCCAAGTACCATTCAAGGAATTTGAAGCTGAACCATATCTTCAGTCCAAAGAGTTTGTTCTCATTTCACTCTCCGTGTCTGGGAGATAATTGTCCTTTTCAGTTATTACTAGTACTGTTCCCACTGAGTCTCTGTACATCCAAACTACGAATCTACCAGATATTGAATTCAGTTACTATGGCACCAAGTTCACTAACCCAACATTTTAATCTTCTGTTGTTCCATGGAACAATCCTGAAGCTAGATTTTGGAGCCTTACCCATAATTTGTGTTTCCTGTACTTGTTTTGTTGTTGATCTTAGCTCTCTCTGCCATCAAATCTTTCTTTTGCATTGCCTTCCTTTCTCAGTGCATTTTTTTGTCATGGCTCAGTGTCATTAGTTACTAGAATTTCTGGTGCATGATGTCCTTTCATTCTTACTTAATGTCCCTTATATGTATACTAGAATTACTGAAGAGACCATCATCTCTACATGCAAGCCACCAATCGGCCACTGGGTGGCATGCCGCTAGCATTTACTGCTGGTGGACCACCAGTGTGTTTGTCTTGGTAATGTTACCACTTGTGGACTACTAGTGACCCATCTTTGACCTGCTGGTGGCTGCCACCAGAGGACCACTGGTGTTACCACTGGCAGCTCACCAGCAGTCCACAAGCATCTTGCGTGTAGGGATAGTCTAGCACATATGTCTGGTTCTCCATTATTTTTTATTTTTTATTTTTTTTCTGTCTAGTATTTTAGTTTTAACCACGGGGGTTGTGAGCACCACTTTCATGATCAGCCATCCCTGATTTTATTGTTTCACACCTAGCTACAGCTTTTCCATGTTCTTCTGGTTTTACTTTTAGGGCTTTGGTTGGTTTCACCTTTATATTCTTTGCCAAAACTGCAAGAGATAGAATACACATAATTCTTGGTCATGTTCTTCTCTTTGTTATGCTTGACTCTAAAAACGTTTTTCTTATAAGATCAAGTTGCTTCTGAATATTGTCCTTATGTTGTATCAACCACAGACCATTTTAATCTTTTCCAACACATTCTTGACATAATGTAGACAGACTGACAGTTTTCCTTCTTGACCCAGTCTCTGTACAGATTATTTGTACATCTAAGGATGTCAGTTGATCTTTGGTGAGTTCACATAATCCAGCAGTATTTGTACGTGTTTCTGATGTGGTTAGAGTATAAAGGTGCCATCTACATATTTCAGCTATATGCTTAGCTTTATTGGTGCCATTTCTTTAAAGTATTTCATGCATGTTTACCATTACTGGTGATAACTGTGAACCCATAGCCAAGCCTTTCTCTTGCTTGACAGACCTTAGTTGGAAGAATGTTGTATGTACACAGAATGTTAAAATGTCTATCAGATTATGTATCTGGATGCTAGTACATTCCTCAAGTGAGAGAGGCTTATAGCCACATTATATTGAAACACTGGTTCCTGTATGGTCACTGGGTAAGCAACATCTAGCTTGGTCAGTACCTAGATGGATGACTGTTTAAGAAGCTTGGATGTGCAAGTTTTGTAATGGATAATAGCTTGAAATTGTTAAGCAGAGAACAGTTCCAATTCCCATTGGGTTCGTTGTATTCATTTACATGCAAATACACTTGGGAAAAAGTATGAATCCATCTCCTCTCCCCCCTCAACTATGGGTTAATTAATAAGACTTGTATCACTAAACCATTATTATCTCCAAAAAAATTTTACAATCTAAAAATATTTTCTGACTCTAAATAACCTGAAAAGGGTTGATAATTCGTAGAA